ATCTGATTATTGGTTATTTCCATCAGACTCTCTTCTGTTCCTGACACAGTAGTTGCATTTTCAACCCAAATATACATTCTTCTGCCTACCTAAATTACCCTGCATTTTGATGTGGTTATTTTGCAAAGTCGAAAGTGAGTGAGTGAGATAATAACAATAATCCTGTGCTCTCAAGTCAACTCTGACTTAAGCAACCCTTTTTAGGATTTTCCAGGTAGAGAATATTCAAAACTGGTTTACGATTCACTTCTTCTGGGGGCACCTTAGGACTGTGCAACTGTGCAGTTTGCCCAGTGTGCCTGCATTTTGATGTGGTTATTTTGCAAAGTCGAAAGTGAGTGAGTGAGATAATAACAATAATCCTGTGCTCTCAAGTCAACTCTGACTTAAGCAACTCTTGTTAGGATTTTCCAGATAGAGAATATTCAAAACTGGTTTACGATTCACTTCTTCTGGGGGCACCTTAGGACTGTGCAACTGTGCAGTTTGCCCAGGGTGACACAGGCTGGCTCAACTAGCAGGAGGCACAATGGGGAATTGAACTCCCAACCTCTGGCTCCACAGCCAGAGACCTAAACCACTGAGCTATCCAGCCACCTGAGTGAGATAGTGAAGTAATTATATTTATTGACTGGTCATTTAGCATCTAGGCTCAGGGTTTTTAAACTACAGAATACATTTTCCTAAGGAAGCAAGTCTAACTGCCAGGGCGGGATATGTTTCCACTTGACAGAGCTGGCTGAAGAAAGTGGTAGCCCCAGGCAGCAAATCTGCATAGAGAGGATACCAAACCCTAGTTGTTTGAGAGTAGAGGTCTGTCTTCCAGCCAGCCTGCCCTCCAAGCTAGCCTATTCTGCGATTCTGCTTTTGTCAGATATAGTGGAGGATGGTGGAGATACAGCCACCTATCCAATCAACTTTTGTATGCTGAACTGGGGATGTGACAAACCTTGATCTGAGTTTAGAATTGGGGGTATAAGGATCCCATGGGCAGCAAAATGCTTTCTCCCTTACCTTGCAATCCTTCCTTCAGCAACATTAAAATAGATATGTGGCTGTCTCTTTTTCCCCCCCTTTATCTGCTTGATATGTCTCTAGAAAAGGTTGCTTCTGTCTGTCGCCTCTGATTTTATCTCAGTGGATGCACTTGTTGACATACCAGGGTGGATTTGTCAGTGCACATTATTAATTCCGCCCTCCAATTGCTTTACAGATGTATGCAAAGGGAAGGATGTCCAGAAAAAATGTGTATTTCATGTCACTTTCATGTATACAATAACATGTAATTCTGCCTCCCTTCAGTGGGCTATTTTCATCACTTGAGGAGAAAAGTTGTCCTATGGTGGCATTTGTAGATCAGAAAGATATGTTACCTGGGGAGGGAAACTGGGATATTTCTTTTTTTTTCTTTATTAAGAAACTTAAAATAAGTTGATGTAATGTCAAGGTCTACATCATCATCATCTTCATCATCATATCAGAACTGCAGAGTTGGATGGGACCCTATTGATCATCAAGCCCAACCCTTGTCAAAGAGGCACAGTGGGGAATTGAACTCCCCAAATCTTGGCTCCACAGCCAGATGCCTAAACCACTGGGCTATCCAGCAGTTTTAATATACAGATTTTTTAAATATCTCGGGATAAGTGGTATGTGACTATCGATGGAGCTTTTCCCCCCTTCTGTGTATGATTAGCTGCCACCTATCAGAATTCTCTGTTCCCTGTTCTGTACAATGTTGAAGACACATAAATGAGAACGCTACCCTATTTTGCCTTTTAGATTGACACGGTAGAATGAGAACGCTACCCTATTTTGCCTTTTATTTTGCCTTTTAGATTGACACGGTACAGAAATCACTGGCCAGTTGTTTTGCCTCCTGTGCAAAGCAACAAATCAAAGCATTCCCATAGATTCTTTTTAAGACAGAGAAGGCTCAATATTTTATAATCAATTTCCACCACCTGGAACCAATTTCATTCAACTTGACTTTTTCATTTTTTCTTTTCTGAAAAGTTCCATCAAGGGAGGCTGTTGGCAATAGCCTGCAGAGACTGCACAGCAGATCAGCAGCTTCTTTCTCAGATGACTACTATATGCTGATAATTGCACATTCATCTGTGTTTATCACCAAAGACATGCACATATAAATATAGCCTGCTAAAAGTCCTTCGGATGAAAATAGAGTTAATTGCCTTTTAAAATGCCCAGGCATTATTTTTCACATGTTAATTCTGCCTCATTAGGATGAAAAAAAGTATTGACATTAATAGTTCAACTCTTTGGCACTTGAAGAAACATGAGTAATTTCACTGGTTTCCTCTTCTACACCCCCTCTTTGCAGACCCTCTCCTTGAATTATAGAATGCTGTAACGCCTTATTTTAACTGGAACATATTGCTTAGAGGAACATATGCTTGTTTTTGTACAAAATTTCCTTCAGGTTTAGCCCAAAACTAAGAAGATGCCTACCTATAAAACCACTGCCTGGCCTATTTGTCATCGTAATTTATTGGGATGCTGCTTCCAGATAAATCATTCTCACCCTTTCATGTTAAAGCAGTGAGCAATCCCTGCTTAGAACAATGCAAGTCACTCATTCGGCTTAAAGTCAAAGACAGGCAAAACATTTTTTGTATCATAATTCATACTACTGTTATACTATAATTTTGTTTGTGTGTGTGTGTGTGTGTGTGAGAGAGAGAGAGAGAGAGAGGAAGAGAGGGTGAGGGTGAGGGGGAGTGTGTGTGTGTGTGTTTTGCCATCCCTTCAGAAATAATTCATAGGAGAAAATGCATAGATGTTTTAATGTTGCACCTATATTGAGTCAAAGTCCTCAGTACAGATCTGAGTTATTTGGCATCATGTTGGCCCTCTGATTTAATGGCCATATTATGTGCAGTCAATGCTGGCTTAGAAAAATCAAACCTGCTCTGTTAAGCGCACTGTATGCTTGCTCGGTTAATTATGTTGCAGTTTTGACTTGTGCCTTTCATCAAATGCATGATTCTAGTTTTACGCCAGTAAAACAGCGTTTTGCTGATGAAGCAGTCCTTTCTTTCTGCTTCTGTTACCACAAAAACAGAACAGAGAACTCAGGCTGATGACCTGAAAATAATCTTAATTGCATTCGTGATGCTTGAATTCAGCACCTCACACCCCTGGAACAATTCAAGGTGATTTTCCTTCATTTTTCTTTTCACAGAAAACAAAACAGAAAAAGCACAACACATAAAAACAGAACATGGACGCATCCCACCTTCACTCCCCACAACCCAGATTCCTGCAGTCTAATCGCTTTATAGAATCATGCACTCCCAATCCATCAGAGAAAGGCCATGTACAAAAAGCCCAAATCAAGTTATGCAATAGGGGTAGTAAAATTCTTTCCCAGCATTTATAAACAGACTTCTTTTTGTATCTGGAGAGAAAGGAAGAGGAGCTATGTCCACGATTGTAATTTATTATAAAGCACCAGAAGGAATATTCAAGTAATTACATTTTGTCAAGACATTCGAGGTGGGTGCTCTGAATAACAAATATCTATTGTGATCCCCACTTCCATTCACATTTTTTAAAAAAAGAAACAGGTGAATCTCTTAAATGTCACTCAACAAGGTTAAGAACAGAGAACTGATTGATTGCCCCCACCCACCCACATACACATGCTCTTCCCGCCCATTGATCCGCTGACTTTTCATACAAGAGAATCCTTCTAACATGCTTTCCCTTACGCTGGGCAAGTATCCAGCTTTCACTGTAAGCTTTTCTTACTTCCTCTGTTGTATTTAAAATGAAGGTCCATCAGCTTTCTAAATATCCCAAAGTGGCAAAAAAAAAAAACCACAGAATGAAACACCACCATGCATAATGTAACATATTTCAAGGGGAACAAAACATGACAAATTTAATGGCTCTTGTCGGCAGTCACATTAATGCCTCTGACGGTGTTAAAAACACAGAATTTCTAATGAGCACCCAAACCACTGTGTGCAGGAAGTGGTTTTGCCTTTGTGACTGGACATTTCAGCTCCTCTAATTGCATCAGTAAGGAATTTGCTCCCCTCACTTAATGAATGCCTTTTGACTACTTACTGAAAGGCAAACTGGCTGTGAAGAGGGGGAAACACTAGCTTCTTTTATACGAAGCCACACGAACAGGTTTCAATTAGGAGTGATCAACTTGACAAACTCTATTGTATTAAAGCACAGAGCAGGGAATTCTATTTTGTTCCACTAGGACTCCTTTCACTCATGAAAGGTGAGATTCCAGCCCCCAATGGATTTAGCCTTTGCCCCCACCCCCTCACCAGTAGCTAGAGAGCTTGCTCAAAAGCCCTTGGCTTTTGAGGATGCCTTGCACTCAGTGGAAACCAGACATTCTCACAGAGGGGACTGCACGATCTGAAAGCCAAAGCAAGTGTCACAACATATATGAAGGTACAACACACCTGCCTGCTGCAGCCTGTACTTGACTCTTATAGTGAATTTCAAGACGCGAATGTGTGTGCATGTGTCCTTGTGTCTAGCATTCTTTGCTATCATTATGCATTGCCAGAAAAGCAGCACTTCCGCAGAACGACCTTTCTGCCTTAAAACAACAGCAACCTGCATTTCTATGGAAGAAGTTTTCTGCTGAAGTAGGGGGAGAGAAGGGAGCATGAAATCAATGAAGCAGCTGACCAACAAGTGCCGTGTAAAAATCTATGTCCCAGCTTTTACCTTGCTTTGCAAGTGGATTTATGGAGCAAAGTTTAAGAAAGAGAGGGAGGAAAAGGTCAATGTACAGATATGTGCAAAGACAAGATTAAGAAAGAGAGGGAGGAAAAGGTCAATGTGTACAGATATGTGCAAAGACAAGATATGGCGAAGTGTGTCAGAAAAGTGAAAAGAGTGCTGTTCCCTTCATTGCAGTCACCAGACTTAAGTCAACCAACAACCCTCCTTGCTTTAAAAAAACAAAACAAAACACACTCTTTCTCACATACAAAGATTCCTACCTCACATTCCCTGGAGCCTGCCTTGCTGTAGGCGCAGGGTCCCGTCCCGTTCAGCAGCATCTCGCTCGTCTCCGTGTTGGTTGGCTTATAGTCGACATAAAATTCCTGCGTGGTGGGAGTCATCTGTTTCAGGGACTGCCGCTTCTTTTTCCGGTGCCTTCTCATGAGCGAGCGCTGCTGCAGCTGCTTCATGCTGGCAGGGTAACGCTTCCACGACACGTAGATCACCAGCAGGATCACCAGCACTGACAAGAACAGGGCCACGCTCCCTGCGATGATTTTGTGGAAAGAGATGTGCTCGGTGTCATGCTCGGGACCCAGGCTGGCTTCGGTGGCCCCGACGGTGGGGGGCGGAGGGGGCTGACTGTCATGCTTCGGCCTAAACACTTTGGGTTTAAAGGTTGGCTTTGGGAGAGCCCGTGGCAATTCAAACCTTTCTGTAGTACTTTTGCCACAGATGCTGTAATTTTTCACGGCATCAATAACATTCACCCCTTGCAGCTCTTTAGGGCTGGCACAGATAATGGTATTTTCCCTCAGCCCTTTAAAACTTTTTAACCAGTTTACCAGGGAGCAAATGTTTCTGCTGCATTCCCATATATTCCCAGCCAGGCTGATGTCATTGAGAGATATCCAAGAATCCAAAATCTCCTGACCAATAAACGTGAGCTTGTTGGAATCCAGGTTGAGGCGCTGTAAATTGGGCACACACTGGAAAACACTAGGTCCACTGAAAGCCTCTATCTCGTTGCCAGATAAATCAAGTCTTTGTAAGGAGCTCCAGGTCCAGGACATTGTTTGTCCTATAACACTGATTTTATTCCACTGTAAATAAAGGTTCTGAAGGCTGACTAGCCTTGGAAAAAGTGCCAAGTTGAGCTTAGAAAATTGATTGTGCTCCAAGTGAAGCTCTTTCAGCCTGATCATGCCCGCAAAGACATTCCTCGCTAAGCTTCGGATCCTGTTGTAGCCCAGGTCTAACAGTTCGAGGTTCCTACAGTCCTGGAAAATTCGGACAGGGATGGTTCTCAGGGAATTAGACCGCAAATGTAAACTCAACAGCTTCCTTAAGCCCCTGAATTGTTCAGATCCCAGCGACTGCAGCTGGTTGTAGGAGAGATCCAAGTTCCGGAGATTGGTCACCGGTCGGAAGGTGTTATTAAGAAAATAGGCAATTCTGTTGGAACTCAGGATCAACTCTTTTAACCTGCGTATTCCATTGAAAGCATTTTCATCAATATTGCTGATGTGGTTATGGTCTAGATAGAGCCAGGTGAGTTGATTAAGACCTTTAAACTGATTGTATTTTAGTTTCTGCAGGCTATTGTACCGAAGGGACAAACCTAAACAGCCAGCTGATATACTTGAGGGTATCTCCTGTAATTTCTGGGACTCGCAATATACCATTTTGCCTTCGCACCTACAGCCCTTGGGGCATCCTCGTTCAGCAGATGAAAGCATTGTCAGTAATACAGTAGGGGCTATTACCAGGGCTACAGCTGATCCGCTCAGTAGCCTAAATACATTGAAACCTGGAAATAAAAATAACTTAGAAAAGTTATCCCCCCAAAACACCCAATTGAGATCTATTTCAGTCATGCTCAAAATGGCTACTTAAAGGCATAAGAAACCCCCTCCCAGCAAAACAAGTACTTTGCAGTCTGCTTTCATTCCTTCTACATGCACACACACCACTGCCATCATATTCTCATAATAAGAGCAAGAAATACTGTAATGTGAAGCATATTTAAAGGCATTGTGCACAGAAGATAGACACAGTCAAATATAAACCCTTGGACATTTAACTCCAGTCATAGCTTGCACAGAGCCAAGTCAATAGAGTAATTAATACAGAATCAGTGCAAAGACTGCTGTAGGCTAACCATAAGCAAATAAAATAGAAAACATACCCATCCTTTGTGTTTTCAAAGGTCGTCCTTAGGTCTTTTGCTTTTGCTTAGGGTGCCACAAGCATGACAGCCCCTGTCAGCTGCTCTGTGGTGAGTCAGGGCTTGCTGACACCCAGGAAGAAAAATGGGACCCCTTGGGAGATGGACCGATTTTGGAACATTATTCTTTGCCAGCCATGCAGAATACCCCAAGAATAAATAAATCCCAACACCGCAGAATGTCAAGTTCTTCCTAGGTAATAGGATCTTCATGGATGGAGCGTTTTGGCATTGTTACATTCAGGAACCGGCTTCTCTAAAATCACTCGGTGCAAAAAGCATGATCGATCCCTCCAAGTGATGCTCAGCTGTCTGAATTCACCCGTCTGTATTCCACTGGGCAGCAGTTCTCATAGTTAGTAGTACACCCCCCCTCCCTGATCCAGCTAAGGAAACTGCGTTGGAGCACAGAAGCCAGGATGACCCTGTACAATGAACAAGCACTGTTCACTTCTGCATACTGTCATTCTGAAAGCTCTTCCGACTGTTGCTTTGGTTTCGGTGAATGCAGTCTTATGTAAAGCTGCCCCCAGTGGTGAAGAATATTATGAGCATGTGCAGAAATGTCTTCCTCCTTTTCTTTCTTTCTTTCTCTCTCTCTTCCTCCGCCCCCTTTTAAATCTTGCAAATGAGTAAGCTTTGTGCTGGGAAAGGAATGATTGTTCTGGGTGACTAAATAGGAGCAGCCTGGTCAAACTCAGTGTACCCTACTGAAATACTTGGAAATTTCTCCGGGCTTTTAGCCTCCCTGCATTTCACTTTCCTTTTTGGGTGATTTAACAAAGCTTTTTAGACACAATGTCTACTGCTGGGACCTTTTACCTGACATAAAACCCAGATGTCACATTCTTTTTTCATTAAACAAATGCATGTGTGCACATACAAACACACACACACAAAAGATCCTATATGCATATGCACTTGGGTGTGAATGGACACTGTAACAAACACACACACACACACAAAAGATCCTATGTGCATATGCACTTGAGTGTGAATGGGCACTGTGGGCATTTGTATTGTCATGAAAAACACACTAATCCCTGTCATTACCACTGATATACAGCTGTTAAGAACTATGGGTAATCAAGCAGAAAGAGTTATGAACTCTCTTACCAGTGTAACTCATTCTTGTTTGATTGTGGGTGTACATGTATGTAGTACATGTATGTATTAACTTGCAAACAGCTTTTCAGAGCGCTGGAAGATGTGGACCTCCTCATGAATTACCCCTGGCTTTCAGATCAGACTCTGAAATGATCTGGATCCCTCCTACACCTGTCTGAATAGAGCAGACATGAGACACCGCTAATTCCAAGTTTGTTAATTTTCTGGCAGGGCAACCAATGTGCAGTATTTGGAGCTGGTACAGATAGAATAAGTGAATGAAGTTTTGATTCTGAAACCTTGTTCCTAAAGAAGGCCATGTGCTGAAAAACGCTGAGCATTTTAAAAATCAGAATAAAGATTATTTACATATTTTGACGTCCTGAGACCCAGTCTCTCATTTTGATTTTTGATACCGTTGGATGTACCAGCTCCTTGTGTTTCTGCTGTATGCTTCTACTGGTATGAAGGTAGCCAAAGTGCAATTTCTATCAGTGGATGGTTTTTAGGGCCTGTATTTTTGAAATGACTTTGATTGGTGCTGCCTTGAACTTCTGAATGTGGAAGTCCATTTTATTTTTTTGATATGGTGCATTGACACAGTTTTGTTTTTAATTGTTGCTTATTTGTGCAATAATTGGTTGCTGCCCCTAATATGCGTATATATGTTTAGAACAGCAAGATACACAAAGCAGGTTACATGGCTCTCCTCCTCCTCCCCTTATCCTGACAACAAGCCTGTGAGGTAGGTCTATATAGTGGGACTATATAATGGGGAAAGGCTGCATTGATCTGCTGTAAATTTATGCCTGGGAAGTTGGGTTTCCTGGGTGAATGTGCTTTAGCTTACCATATAGGAGTCATCAGAGAGTGGAGGAAATTGGTAATCAGTGACCCCATGAACCAGAGCATGTGAGGCCCTCCTGACTTCCTCTGACTCCAGGAGATAGGTCAAATTCATATTTGGTAGCTTCGATCCAACCATCTCGTCCTTTGTTGTCCCCTTCTCCTCTTGCCTTCACAAGTTACCTTAACAAGCTGCAAAGAAGTACTGATTAGCAATTTCCTCCTCCCTCCTTCCCTCTCTCCTTCCCTCTCGCTCTCTCACATCTCTAGGTGCCTTAGTGCAACTTTTTTGCAGTGCTGGCACCAAGAAGAAAGAATTAGGAAGAAAGAAGGAAAGAAAGAAAGCTTTATTAGTGAAGATCTGAAGTCTCACAGCTAAAACCAAGCATGAACCACTTGGCGCGAGGCCATGCTAGGCTCTTGCATGCTTGTTTTTGCAGTACCTGCTTCCTAATTGGGAATCATTTTGGATTAACCAGCTAATGCAACCTGGACAATGCATTCACTCTAGTCAAGGCAGGAATCATGGACATGGATGAGAGGCAATCATTGTCTTCTGGGAGTGCCAGGTTGTTGCACTAGTATGACTACTGGTTTCCTGGATATTTGGAGTAACACAGCTGATAGGATATAGACACAAAGGAGACAATGAAATGGGCTTGGGGTGGTCTCTTAAAGACATTTGAGGAGAACCGGCCCCCTTTGAGTTTTCTCTCCTCACCCTGCCAACCACAAGCATTTCTGTGCATGCTTTTCTGCATCAGCTCAAGTGATGCAGAAAAGCACCTGAAGTGATGCACATACATTTGCTAGAAAAAAGAAGAAGCCCCAGTGTCAGAGGGGGAAAACCCTATAGATTGTGAGGAAGAACTCCAGCTAATTTTCATTGACTTGTAGATTGTGCAGCCAATGGAAAATAATGTGAGGCGTCCTAATCCTGGAGCCTGTAGTCTGAAAGCATGTAAAAATGCGAGTAGATAAATAGGTACCATCTAAGGTAACAGTGTTCCATGTCTAGTCGTGCTGGCCACGTGACAATGGAAACTGTCTTCAGACAAACGCTGGCTCTATGGCTTGGAAATGGGGATGAACACTGCACCCTAGAGTCGGACACAACTGGACTGAATGTCAAGGGGAACCTTTACCTTTACCTAAGAATTCCAGCCTTGTTTTCCCCTTTTCTCATCCAACATTCTAACCACTAGATCTTCAGCAAAGTGCTGTCTTTTTGTCCAACACCCTCTCAGGCATGTTTGGAAAGGATACACAAGAGGGCTTTCGTGGTGTCTGCTGCCAGGTTAGTGGAAACCCTTTCTGAGAGACACTAGGCTGGCCTCTTCCATGCTATCTTTCTTCTGGTAGGCAAAGAGCTTGTTATTCAAACAGCCTTAAGTCCACAGCCTAGTTGTTTTCAGTTTGGTTCTGTGGTTGTTTTTAAATGCTGATAACTATACTAATTTACTGTATCAATCTAATAATTTATTTATTTATTTATTTGATTTGATTTGTATCCCGCCCATCTGATCAAATAGACTCGAATCTATTCAATAGCGCTTTGATACTGTAACTTACTATGTTTTGTAGCTGGATCTCATTTTTGCTTTTAAATTGCAAGCTTTCTTGGTTACCGCAAGGGAGAAAGAGAGGGTATTAATTAATTAAATAAAAATTAATATGTGAGCTCCTTCTTTTGGAAAATGTCTTCCCAGAAGACATCAAAACAGAAGGGGCAGGAGGGATGGATTGTAAAACGGGAGCTATGGGTCTATTCTCACATATATAAACATAGTTTGGTTACATAGCACTGGGTGAGTTCATGCCTATGTATGTGCCTTAGGTCCATTGAACATCAATGTGTATCAAAGAATATGATATAAACATAGTTTGGTTACATAGCACTGAGTGAGTTCATGCCTAAGTATGTGCCTTAGGTCCACTGAACATCAATGTGTAGGAAAGAATATGAAATATCTGTGATGATCGGTGCCTTAGGTCCATTGAACATCAATGTGTATCAAAGAATATGAAAGATCTGTCTGTCTGTCTGTCTGTCTGTCTGTCTGTCTGTCTGTCTGTCTGTCTGTCTGTCTGTCTGTCTGTCTATCTATCTATCTATCTATCTATCTATCTATCTATCTATCTATCTATCTATCTATCTATCTATCTATCTATCTATCTATCTATCTATCTATCTATCTATCCCCATTAGTGCCACGACACTATTTACAGACAGTTAAACTACACAGAACTAAACGCAACATAAATATCAAAACATAATCAAAAATGTAAACAATGGCAATCTGTGATGGCTTGGGATACAATTCCTGATCTGAATCAGCCTTAAACAGTAAATAAGAAACCTCAAAAAATGTCTTACTCTGAATTGCTGCAAAATAATGGCCTCTAAATTTATGATCTTGAAGAAAATTTGCACATTTTCATGAGTGGTTTCTTTTTTGGCACATTTCTGTAAAATATACAGAATTGGAAAAGGTGGTAACTGTTGCCTTGTAGCATGAACTAGGGGTTGTGTTATTCCTATTATCTACATCTTTGTAATCAATCAGCTGGTTCTCTGGTATTGCTGGGCAGGTTTGCTTAGCGTCACAAAGGGAAAAGGCATCAGCACTGTGTATAAGCAGGCCTTTGGTGCACTCTACATTTTGTGCAAATTGCAGAAACCTCACTGGAAACACAAAGCATTTTGTATTGTGGTCTCAAGCCAAAATCTCTTGAAGGAAATCCCTTGGGTAGCTGTCTTATTGTGTGGGACAGCCGGTTTCGATGGGAATCTTGGCGGTATTGAGATTTTTTCTCATTTCTAGTGATGGCTCATGCAGATTGAGAGGTCACATTGCAATACCGAAATTGTTGAGTGATGTGCATGCCTTTATAAAATAGTTGCACCTGTAAACAAGTAGTGATGGCCTTCATTTGGTAGTTCCTCAATTATAATATGTGTGCCATCAAGTCAATTCCAACTTATGGCAACCCTTTCCAGGTTTTTCAAGGTACAGAGTACTCAGAAGTAGTTTAACCTTCCCTTCTTCTGGAGGCATCCTGGAATGCTGCAGCTTCCTAAGTTTGTATGGGCTGTTTTCTCTCTCAAGAGCCCCATCTCCAGGCAGCCTCCTCATTTATACTGCTGGATGAAATTATAACCTTATTTAGAGGCTCCCATAAGGAGTGGACCCTGTCCAGGGCTCACCCAACATGGTTTGCTGGATGATGCAGAGCAGCAAATGCTACTCCACCTCCACCCCTGAGTCAAGATGTAGAGGGCTCAAAGCCTGACAAGTTGTTTTGCCACCTGAGACAGGCCTTCCCACATGTACCTTTTTGGCAATAAAAATACAAGGATAAGAAAATAAATAATTAATTTGCTGCCCTCTCACGATACCCGAAATGTGCTACCTGAGCTAGTTGCTTCATTTCATATAATGGTAGGGCTTGGTCCTATCTCTTTACATCTCTTTCATCCAATATGAGGAAGAAATCTGTCTGAAATTATGGGAAGAAGAT